AACAGAGGGTGGTATTATCTAGCCATTCTCTGAGTCCCTGGGAAGAGAGATGGGAAAGGGGGTTTGAAATCTGAGTGACAGCTCTCCCTGGCTAAGACCATCCTGGCACACAAATCAATGCTAATGCTGGTTTTATAGGCCAATGGAGGACTCTCCCATAGTGGGAAAATCTGCAGCGGGTGTAAGGCTCCCATAACAGCTCCTATATACCCAGCCCAGGCTTAGGGGCATGTCTGTGGGAAGAAAGGAGGCATGGTTAGGGCATTTCTATGCCCAGATACTCCCTGGACTGCCCGCTGACAGAAGGGTGTAAGTTGGAGCAACCCTGAGGCTACTCCAATGTTGGTCAGTAACTGGACACAAGGCAAGGGAGCATAAAGCCACCTTTGCCCTTGCAGCTTAGATGAAGCCCAGGATCGGCGCCTTCTTATTGCCTCTCTCCTCAAGTAAAACCACTCCAGTTTCACCTGATGGCTCCTGCCACTGCCTCCAGCAAAGAGGGTGAAGTCCGGAGTGAATATCTCCAAAATGGAGGAATCACCCACTCCCACACCTTGCACGCTGTCTTTAGACATCACAAAGGAGCAGTAAAGGGCACACACTTTCTTTGTGCTTTGCCATTCATCTTTGAGTCATTGAAACAAAATAGCTTTTCATCACCGCCCTCAGGAGCTGCAGGCTACAGCATGAACGTGAAAGCCTTAGCACTGGAGAGATGTGCACCTGGCTGGCTCTGAGCCCAGTGGATAACCGGCAAGGAAAATCAAACCAAAGAGTGATCATTTGTGTAATAAAAAGTAAAAGCTAGGTGGAAGTCAGTGCCCGAAGACTGTCTTGGCGCCATACAGGAATGGATCAATGCAAAGACTTGTTAATAATTTCAGACACAATGTTAATTTGAGACTCTAGACAGAGACAATTTATGATCCTTCATCAGCACAGAAAACAATAGCATTGTGTAACTTTTTTTTTTTTAATACAAAGTCAAGTAAGAAGGTGACAAAATGCATCCCAAAGCCAGATGCATCTTTACTCTCCACCAGAGCAGCCAGGATTGGAGGGGGAAAGCACAGTCAAAAAGCAACAGAGACTGTTCCTTTACATTAAAACCAACATCCAAACAAGGGCAGCCGGATACACATTCAGCCACTGGGACTGACTCCTGGGGATCCCTGCAGGTTGACAATGGCACACAAGCAAAAATATTCATGAGCTTTTAAACAGCGAGGGGAGGAATGAAGCAAGCGGTTGTGCTTTTTTTCAATCACATCCAGTTCTTAAGCTTACGGATACTTTGCAGCATTAGGCAAGTAGGTGGGAGGGGGGAAAAAAAACAAAACAGTCTAGCATTTTGGTTTTCGAAAGGTCCTAAAGATACTACAAATAGCACCAGAAGTCACCTAGGGTCCAAACCTGTTCCCACTGAAGTCAGTGGTGGACCATCCTACCGAGGACAACAGGAGTAGGCGCAGACCTGGTATTTATATCCAAGTAGAAAACAGATTACATATCATCCAGGTATAGCCCATTCAAAGGGCTTCATAGGGCAATTTCAGCATATGAGGAGGACAGTTCATCTGACCCTCCCTTGGGTGTACGTGGCAGTAAGAGGCACACATTTGATTTCGGCTGCTCCTCTCCAGCAGGCAGCTTCCCATCTTTTGGGTGAATCCAAGAGCAGAGCAGAGAACAGACACTGTACAAAGCTGTATTGTGTCTAGTATTTGCCATCCAAGCCCTCTGGAAGCTAAAGGGCCCTTTATGCTGTTGACTCAGGTCTGAGCATTCGCTGTTTGACTTGAATAGTAGCTGAACTGCTCTTCTCTTCCTTCTCCACCTTCAGTGATGCCTGCCTGGCTGCCTTCCCGGCCCCAGCATCCACTGTGAACTCTATGCAGCAGACCCAAAGTAAACAAAACAGTCTTCTGAATCAACCTGGTGCTCTTGTAAGGAGGATAGGAGGCTGGCAGTGTCTCATAAGGGAGCGTTCTCATGACTAACCTTCTCCCAGCTTTGTACAACTTAAGCTCTTCCAGACTTCTGTGCACCTGCTGTTCCCAAGTGAGGTATTTCAGAATGGATCAGTGGCCCTGGGCCAATTGAAACAGACTGCCAAGGCTCAGCCACTTACCTCTTGCATTTCTTACTACAGACGTCAGAAGACAGGAAAAAGCGGCGGGTCAGGCCCCTAGGAAAACGACTCCAGGAGACCAGCTTTGTGGGAGGCACCAGCTTTGCTTGAATTGGCCCCAATGCTGAATAGAGTTGTGATTTTCTGAGAGGAAGGTATTTCCTATTGTCTCACAAGGTTTGTTTCCTACCAGAGAGGACCCACTGTCTTTAAGAAGCTGCTACTGGAGTGAGACTGGGCTACTGGACAATTGCAAATAGACCATATCTATTAGAGGAGACCAGGAGTCAGGACTCACGTGTTCCATTCATGGCTAGACCAGTGAGGTGCTGGGTGATCTTTAGCAAGTCACTCAGCTTCCACATACCACAGTTCCCTACCTATAAAATAGGCATAGCACCCCCACCTGGCAATGGCAATGCAAGGATTCACAGAAGTTCTCAGAGTGCTTTGAGATCCTTGGCTGAGGGGATAAGACCAAAGAATAACAGATTGGCACAATTTGTGCTTCAGTCCAGAGTTGGTTCAAATGTCTTTGGTCCAGAGTTTCTGCCTCCCCTACCATAATTACACCTACTCTTTCCAAGTTAAGGAGCATTCGTTTAGGAGCTGAACATTGCACAGTGATTTAAAAGACACCAAAAAGAAAAGGAGGACTTGTGGCACCTTAGAGACTAACCAATTTATTTGAGCATAAGCTTTCGTGAGCTACAGCTCACCTCATCGGATGCTGTAGCTCACGAAAGCTTATGCTCAAATAAATTGGTTAGTCTCTAAGGTGCCACAAGTACTCCTTTTCTTTTTGCGAATACAGACTAACACGGCTGTTACTCTGAAACCTTAAAAGACACCGGCACTACAAATTCAGAAATCTCCCAAATGTTTAGGGGCTTCCCAGGTGTTGGGCACAAAAGTGTGCCCAGCAGTTTAGATTTTTGTACAGGAAGTCCAAGGAGCCAGCGACATTCTCTTCATTTTCCTACAAGACACAATTGCAAGTCGGAATCCTAATCCTTGTTACAACTACAGATGTTAGCAGAGGTTTGATCAATGCCCAGAAAAAGGGATCAGTGTCGGGAGGAGTAAAATTCTACTGAGATTAGTTTGATGTGAAAAGAGACCAGGAGATTCTCTTTAACATATGATGCTATTCACGGAAGCCGAGAGGCTCTGTTTGTGGCTGGCTTTAATCTCTTTGCTCCTGGGATTTTGTTCCCTATCTCTTTGGCACACATTTGGTTTTGCTGCTTTGCCTGCCAATGTGCTGTCATTTGTTTACTTCTCCAGGCACCAGATTCAGAACAGTGAAGCTGGAGCAAGCACAGATGTGGAAATACAACTGTACTTACAGCAGGCTGCTTTGCATCCTATCCGGCCGGTCGCAAATGCCCAGCAGTGAGCTGCAGAAGGAAGAGATCAGGCATACACACAACCGTTTTAAACAAGCCAAGTCCCCATGCTGGGAAGGTCAGTGTCCCCGCTAAGCCCACTGTGTGAGAAACAAGCTTTCAGCAACCCCAAGACTAAAGCAGATAAGCCCTCTGGTAGGGGAGAAAAGTGCATACACCCATGAAGGCCACATTGTTTGAATAGATTGCACACGGACTATGAATCACCTATCTCCACGCATGTGACTGGTGGGCCCTTCCAGGCTGGGAGTGAGGCAGTGAAGGGGAAGATTGATTGATTGCTGCCCTTAATGTCTGTACCTTGGGGATGTGGAAGTATAGGGCTCAGGCTCCAGGCCTTTCACTGGCACCAACTTTGCTGTAGAACAGTGGTTTTCAACCTGTGGTCCACGGACTCCTGGGTGTCCACAGACTATGTCTAAGATTTCCAAAGGGGTCTGCACCTCTATTCAGCATTTTTTAGGAGGTCTGGAAACGAAAAAAAGGTTGAAAACCACTGCTGTAGAGGTATGTGTGTGCAGAGTACTTATAAATTACAACTACCTTTTGGACACCTGTAACTCAATTACCACCCACCTTCCCAGTCCGAAACGTTACAGTCAAGATAGGGATCAGAAAGGAGCTTCTGTGCCAGTCTTTAAATGCCTTAAAAATGTTCCGCCAGGAGGTGATGACACCATGAATGTCTCCAAAAGAAGAAAAACATCCATGACAATGAAATACGGGGGGAAGGGGACAGACTTAAAATGAAGGTTGAAGTCCATCAATGCTCAGTATAATTAACTGTATGGAGTCAAGTAATGGGGGTGGGATTTCCAGCCAGAGACATTAATGCATTTTGCATTTGCGCTAAATGACACTGGCTCAGGATCTCCCATTCCCAAGGGGCAGATTCACTGCCCTATCAGGACAGCAAGACAGGCCATTCCGTTGCCTCATATCTATGTAGAAAGATTTCAGAGTAACAGCCGTGTTAGTCTGTATTCGCAAAAAGAAAAGGAGTACTTGTGGCACCTTAGAGACTAACCAATTTATTTGAGCATGAGCTTTCGTGAGCTACAGCTCACTTCATCGGATGCATACCGTGGAAACTGCAGCAGACTTTATATATACACAGAGAATATGAAACAATACCTCCTCCCACCCCACTGTCCTGCTGGTAATAGCTTATCTAAAGTGATCATCAGGTGGGCCATTTCCAGCACAAATCCAGGTTTTCTCACCCTCCACCCCCCCACACAAATTCACTCTCCTGCTGGTGCTAGCCCATCCAAAGTGACAACTCTTTACATAATCAAGTTGGGCTATTTCCTGCACCAATCCAGGTTTTCTCACATCCCCCCCCACCCCCATACACACACAAACTCACTCTCCTGCTGGTAATAGCTCATCTAAACTGACCACTCTCCAAGTTTAAATCCAAGTTAAACCAGAACATCTGGGGGGGGGGTTAGGAAAAAACAAGAGGAAACAGGCTACCTTGCATAATGACTTAGCCACTCCCAGTCTCTTTTTAAGCCTAAATTAATAGTATCCAATTTGCAAATGAATTCCAATTCAGCAGTTTCTCGCTGGAGTCTGGATTTGAAGTTTTTTTGTTTTAAGATAGCGACCTTCATGTCTGTGATTGCGTGACCAGAGAGACTGAAGTGTTCTCCGACTGGTTTATGAATGTTATAATCCTTGACATCTGATTTGTGTCCATTTATTCTTTTACGTAGAGACTGTCCAGTTTGACCAATGTACATGGCAGAGGGGCATTGCTGGCACATGATGGCATATATCACATTGGTGGATGTGCAGGTGAACGAGCCTCTGATAGTGTGGCTGATGTTATTAGGCCCTGTGATGGTGTCCCCTGAATAGATATGTGGGCACAATTGGCAACGGGCTTTGTTGCAAGGATAAGTTCCTGGGTTAGTGGTTCTGTTGTGTGGTATGTGGTTGTTGGTGAGTATTTGCTTCAGGTTGCGGGGCTGTCTGTAGGCAAGGACTGGCCTGTCTCCCAAGACTTGTGAGAGTGTTGGGTCATCCTTTAGGATAGGTTGTAGATCCTTAATAATGCACTGGAGGGGTTTTAGTTGGGGGCTGAAGGTGACCGCTAGTGGCGTTCTGTTATTTTCTTTGTTAGGCCTGTCCTGTAGTAGGTAACTTCTGGGAACTCTTCTGGCTCTATCAATCTGTTTCTTTACTTCTGCAGGTGGGTATTGTAGTTGTAAGAAAGCTTGACAGAGATCTTGTAGGTGTTTGTCTCTGTCTGAGGGGTTGGAGCAAATGCGGTTGTATACAATTCAATATCTATTGTATACAATCTCTACGTATACAATACGCCACAAGTACTCCTTTTCTTTTGCGAATACAGACTAACACGGCTGTTCCTCTGAAACCAATCTACTGAGTGTGCTCATCCTAATTGTATGAATGTGTCATTCTTGTATCTGAAACTAAGAATATGAAGTATAACCCTGAGGTCCTATTGTAATCATGCAAAGTGTGGGCCATTAATGGTGGTTTAGAATCTTGATTGCTCCCACTGACTAGGACAATTGGTTGTAAATGGTTTATTTACCTGAAAGGCTTCCTGTATAAGTGCGGGCCAGCCCCGGAAGAATGGAGGGGTTTCACAGGACATGTGAACATGTCACCTGATACTGGAATCCATCTTAAACCTGGTGCTTTTCCATTTAGAAGGAAGGGTGGGAACCCAGAGAGACCAAAGATTCCTGCCTTGTGCCAAAGATATAAAAGGGGGTGGAACAGAACAAAGGGGGGTCCCAGTCACGAGAAAGCCTCTGCTTTTCACCGAAAATGCCTGCTGGAACTAACAAGGACTGTACCGGGGAAAGGACTGGGCCCAGACTAGGAAGGAATCTAGCCTGTGAAAGAAGCTTACTGGAACATCTCTGAGGGTGAGATTTACCTGTAATCAATTTCTTAAGGTATTAGGCTTAGACTTGCGTGTTTTGTTTTATTTTGCTTGGTAACTTACTTTGTTCTGTCTGTTATTACTTGAAACCACTTAAATCCTACTTTTTATACCTAATAAAATCACTTTTGTTTATTGATAAACCCAGAGTAAGTGATTAATACCTGGGGGAGCAAACAGCTGTGCATATCTCTCTATCAGTGTTATAGAGGGGGGATAATTTATGAGTTTATCCGGTATAAGCTTTATACAGAGTAAAACAGATTTATTTGGGGTTTGGATCCCATTGGGAACTGGGTGTCTCAGTGCTGGAGATAGGTGACCTGCTGAGCAGTTTTTGGTTAAAGTCTGTAGCTTTAGGGGCATGGACCAGACCTGAGTCTGTCTTGCATCAGGCTAGCATGTCTGTGTCAACAAGGCAGGGTTCCGGAATCCCACGTTGGTAGAGAAAAATGGCTCAGAGATAGTCTCAGCACATCAGGTGACAGTCCCAAGGGGGTCTCCGAGACCGAACCTGTCACAACTGGTTTCTAAGACAACTTTAGTAACACCATGCACTTTTCAATCTAGCCTCTAGCACCACATAAGCACAGATCTCCTGATTTCAGCAGGTGTTGGGTACAGGGATTGTCCAGAGAACAGACTCCTTTAGCTAGGTCTATAATCACTATATGGTCCATCCTTTCCACCCTAAAACTAGAACGGCCTTTTGCAGAAGTACGGAGCTTTTGCCACTCATCCCAACATACCTATACAGCTTCCCACCTTAACCCCACACACCTGGATCTTCTCACAATTACATACAGTTGTGATTTGCTAAAACCAAATATTAAAGAGATCAGCTAAGCAGCCCTATTACATAACCATGCATGTTCATTTGACAACAAATGCCAGACTCTCATCCGGCATTTTTTGGTGCTCTGTACACATTTCACGTCCCCTCTTCCCCCCAACTCCCAAGTTTTCATTCTCTATGTGTGTGCTCCAACATAAAAAAGGCAGCATAGTTCTTTGTGTGGTGCACCATTCAGAATACATGTGAACAAGAAAGTCAGAGACAGGCAGCACAAAGCCTCAAACTGTTGAAGTCTCAACACCCTGTGCAGAGCCTTTGCCAGACAGACTACCTGAGATATTGTCAGAATCTAGCAGCTCAACAATGCTATATGGGGAACAGTCTTCTAGGCCCAGCTTGCTACACAACCAGCCACAGAATCCCTTCTCCATATCACTCACGGCATGCCACCAGCCACCGAAGGACCACGCAATCTGAGTAACTGCCGTATACAAGCCTAGGAAGAAAGACATGACCATGATTATGACAGGATAGAAGATAATCAGTAAGGGGCAGAAGGTGATCTTGTGCCAGAAGGTCCTCTCTTCGTTGTACACCAAGAAGATGTTGTACCAAGTGATGGTCCCGTAGTAAAAGGAAACCACAAAGGACACTGCAAAGATGACAGGAAGGCAGATGATGCTCCAGAGCAGGACATGGGGGCCCCTGTCCAATCCAATGTCGCAAGTCTTCTTCCCTTCTGGTGTCTCATCTTTTGGAGGCTCCTTTGACTTAGCCAGCTCCTGTAGCTCTTTGTCGGTTAGCGTAACATGGATGTCCACCATCTGGCCCTTCTTCTTCCCTCTTGTGATAGTTCCAGTTAAAGTAACATATCGGCTGTCTAAGGGCATGCTCCAGGCACCTTGAAATGGAGATAAATTTCATCAACATTCAAGAGAACTATTTTTTAAAGTACATTTCATGCAAATCTCCAAAGACATTGCGTGGAATTAGACAATACAGTTAGCGTTCAAATCATAATAATAATAATAATATAAAAAAGGCAGGGCAAGGGAAGCTAAGAGATGCAAGCAGGAGATCACACAGAACAATGGAAGAAAATGTGGAGCTATCCAGGGACGCTGGTTGAGAGGACAGGAGTGGAGAAGGTTCTGTACTGGTGAGGCTGTGTAAAAGGAAAAACAACAGGCAGCTGCTATAGGAAGAGAGGGGAGATGGTAGAGGAAAGAGAATGGGCCAGATTCAGAAGGGACTCTAAAATGGTGCAACTTTCTCTTCTGGTCCCCTCAACATGCGTGTTACACCAACCACAATATACTCAGTGGGCCAAATTCAGAAGTGGGGGGAAGGAAAGTCTAAGTTGGTATAATTTGCATGACAAGGGATAAGATGTAGCAAGAAAAGCAACTAAAGGGTATAAGACTAAGTTAAAATAGCCCCCATTCTTAAGCCTTCTAAGTTACATCAACTCAGAGCCCCTTACACCAGGGGTGGGAAAACATTTTGGCCCTAGGGCCATGGCTGGGAATTGAAATTGTATGGCGGGCCATGAATGCTCACAAAATTGGAGTTGGGGTGCGGGAGGGTGTGAGGGCTCTGGGGTGGGGCCAGAAATGAGGAGTTCAGGGTACGGGAGGGGGCTCCGGGCTGAAGCAGGGGGTTGGGGTGCAGAAAGGGATGCAGGCTCCAGCTGGGGGTGCGGGTTCTGGGGTGGGGCTGGGGAAGAGAGGTTTGGGGTGCAGGAGGGTGCTCCAGGCTGGGATCGAGGGGTTTGGAAGGCGGGAGGGGGATCAGGGCTGGGGCAGGTGGTTGGGGCGTGGGGAGAGGCTCAGGGGCGCAGGGTCCGAGTGACGCTTACCTCAGGTTGCTCCTGGAAGCAGCAGCATGTCCCTTCTCCAGCTCCTACATGGAGGCGCGGTCTGGCAGCTCTGCACGCTGCCCCATCTGCGGGCACTGCCCCTGCAGTTCCCATTGGAGCGCCGGAGGGGCCATTTGAGCGTGTAGGAGCCGGAGCAGGGCCATGCCGTGGCTTCTGGGAGCCACGTGGTACGGTCCCCGACCCTGTGCCCCAGCCGGAGCGGGCCAACCCCCAGATCTCGCTCCCCAGTGGGAGCTCAAACAGCTCACGGGACGGATCCATCCGTCCGTAGTTTGCCCAACCCTGCCTTACACAGTGGTTAGAGGGGTCCCAGTTATACGCCCTTACACATCAATTCTGAATTTGGCCCCAGGTCTGTTACTTAGGCTGCAGCAAGTCCACAGAGAGTTTTCAAAACAAGTCTGGGCAATCCGATGTAGCTCATGAAGGTGGTGGTGGTTACATTCTCTGGACCTATTAAAAGGCAGGTGGGAGCAATCTGTCCTTGCTGGAGAGCTGGGACTGTAGAGGCCACAGAGAAGGGAGTTGCAACAGTCCCGGTTAAAGATATTTATTTCATTGCTCTGTAAGGCACCTATTGCAAATGTTTCCCTCCACGGACCATAAACATATGAGAGACATTTTAAAAGAATTAAAGGGAAAGTCAATCAGCCCAAATAGGGCCCAATATCAAACGATGTGGCACACAGACAGACCCAGGCAAACTAGTCACCACCACAAAGGATCCAGTCCACATTGGAGAAAGTCAGGGGAAGAAAGGGGCAGGAAGAGAACAGAAACAAAAAGCAAAGGAAGGGGCCAAAAACGGGCAAGAAAGAGACAACAGAAGTCCCTGGGACCTGCAGCATAATCTAAAGGCAGCCAACATGGAGATGGAGTTCCATAGTGAGGGACAGAACAAATCCCATCCCCAGCCCAGTTCTGGAAGAATACGGGGATCATTAGCTGGCTTGACCAGCCCAAGCAGACTTATTGCCTGAGTGGGACACTGGGCGGAGGAGTGGTTGCTCAAGTCAGAGGAAGGCACGGGCAGAGGTGAGAACAGACGAGTTTGCAAGCCTAAAACAGGATATGGATATTCCCTAGGGAAAGTAGCAATTCAGTTATGACATCAATGAAGGGACGATGGCACACACTTTAAAACTGAAGCGTCCACTGTCTGCAAACCTTTTGAGGTTTGAAAACACAGCAGGACAGTAGGTTTGAGATGCAGCGATCTAACTGGACTGTGAATACCAGCAGTGCATTCCGCACAGGGAAAGGGATGGAATATACATGCACTGCAATTTTCCTTATTTATTAGCACCCCCTCCCCGCAAAAAAAAAAAACCTACACACAACACCACTCTCCTTCCTTATCAGCTATGAGTCCGAATAGATGGACAGGGCTGGAAGACCTGGCAGGGACTCGCCCCCGTGCAGAGATCTCCAGCTGCCCTTCTGGGTGAAAGCAGCTCTGAAAGTGCTCACCGTTGACCCTGACAAGGAGTCCCTTTCCAAAGAGGAAGCTATGCTGAGACGGTATCAACAGGAGGCTGCAGCCAATGACCTCTCCCTATGGCACTATACCAGAAAGAGCCTCTAGAATTGATCAACCTGGAGCCTGAGTTCCCATCCATTTGCTTTACATGCAGTTCTAAGTAGGGAAGAGGGCCTGATCCCAAAGTCAATGGGAGGAGGGTGTGCTCAACATCTCACTGCAACATCTCCCTAAATTAGCAGCTACATTAAAAAAAAAAAAGATTTAAGAAGAGGGGGACCAATGGGGAGGATATTCAAACAAATAAGTGGCTAAGACAACAGACCAAAAAATAACCCCTGGTGCCTTTTATCTGGGATTTCAAAGCACTTTCATGTCTGAAGCCTCTCAAACTCGCTCTCCGCTATTATGCGACAGGGAAAACTGAGGAGTAGAAGTTAAAGTGCCTTGCCAAAGGTCACATCAAAAGTCAGTAGCGGAGCTGGAAAGGCGGCTCTGGATTCTCCTCCTGTGCTCCCCGACCAGCCCACCCATCCTGAATCCATAAAAAAAGACCCTCGATTTGTAAATTGAAAATGCCCAATTTTCCAAAAAGTAACGATACAGAAGCTCAAAAAATAACTCGCAGCATCTACCCTAATGAACACTACATCTGAAAAGGGGCTTGTGCCCTCAAGTCCCATGGATGCCCATGGTGCTTCAGAGCACTCAGCCGCAAGAGAGGAGGATAGACTTCCAGAAGTTTTATCCTTCCCCATACCTTTGAAACAAACAAACAACAAAAAAAGACAGGCAAGAGTTAGTGACCCTATTTACACACGGATCAATATATTTTACTGTTCAGTGGCTCAATGGCTAGTTGAATCTGGGTGCCAGCTGCAGCTTCTGGGGATACGTACCATCTGCCACGGAATTTCCCAAGAACTTAGAGCCTTCTTCTGAACTTCTCTCCCTTCCTTCCTCATCCGCCTGCTCTTCTTCCACCTTATTTTCATTCTCCGACCGATAAACTATAATAGACTCTGGACGGGACTCTTTCTTTTTCTTTTTCCTTCTGTCCATAGTGGCTTCTCCATCAAAGGTCACTGCCGTAGCCACAGCTCTCCGCAGGGAGCCTCGGTGCGGACTGCGTGTTCCAGCCTTGTTCTCCCTCTGCACTGCTTCCTCCATCCCGCTGCTGTTTTGAAGCGTCTCATCAGGCATCTCTGAGGAGGTGTTTAAAAATCTATCCGCTCCTGCACTTCTGAGCCATTGATCAGGCAATGATTAGCAGGGATACTCTGGCTTGCGAAAGCATCCTAGTCACAGCATCCAACAGACATCCTCCATTTCCAACCTAAAATGAGAGAGGACAAATAATCAATAGAGTGTCACATTTAACTCCATGTAGAAGAGCAGGTTCCTGCGGATTTTTAAAGAGGCACTTCCAGCTAACTTACCACGTTAAGCAAAATTGGTTTAAGCGCAATTTAAACTGACTTACGTGAATCTACATTTATTGATTTTAAAATCGGATTTAGTTACACCAATACAAATTTTCTAATATGGACCAGGGTTAAATGTATGTTCCAAATTTAAATACAGGAAACAAAAGCCGCCAGGATGGGAGTGGGTGTTTAATAGGAATAGACTAAATAAGCACGGTTTGTTGGGAGATTTTAACATTCCTCTGCAATGCCAGCAAAACTGCACTGGCAGTAGAACAAAAAGGTGAAACTGGCAAGCAACATACATGAAACTGACTAATTTAGGATCCCTACTGGACAATTGCAGCAGTGAAACTATGGTGCAAATTGCCTTAATCTAGACAAACCGTAGATTTATTATGCAAGATGAGGTTAATGCAAATAGTAATTGAATGATGTGATACACGGTGAAAAGTCAACCGGATTTTTAAAAACCCTGCAATTTAATAATCTGCATTTCTATTGGTAACAAGCATAAGCATTTTTTTAAATGTGAGTTTTATGTTGAGGGGGGTAAAATCAAGACGACTCCATGAAAAATAAAAAATTACAATGAAGTATTTTGGTTGTGTAGAAATTTTTTTACTACCAATCGATATAAAAAACTCAGGGCCTGATTCTTTACTCAAGCAAAGCCATTATTAATATTAAAAAATGCCACTGACTTTGATGGGAGTTTTGCCTGAGTAAAGGACACAGGAACAGGCCCTCAGCATGCAAGCAGTGTAAACTGCATCCTGGTGGATAATCCCTGGATCCATACAATTCTCAGACTAGACTCAATCTAGGAAATGAAGAGACCGATTGGGAGATAGCACTGGCAGATACTTTGGTGGAGATCTAAATACAGCAATGCAGATCTAGGTTGAACATTTAAATGATCAGAAGACTCTGCATGACTGAGCATTAAAGTCCTGCCTAATGCATGAAGCAGTCCTTCAACAGGAATTTAAAGACATCATCATAATTTACAGCCCATTAAATGTGGAGACATTGTTTTATTTAAACAAATGCTGGGAAAAAGTTGAACATTTTAGATTCAGCTATATAGTCTAAAATGACCCTCCCACAAATACAAAGTCACACGTTTTGGGGATTTGGGTTGGGGGGGGTGGGAGTTATTTTGGTTGATCTAAAGTTTTATTTATGCTTCTCTCTTATACACATGCACACACAGAGATTTGTAGTAAAACTTTAATTGTTTTACTTGAATACCTGAGGAAAGACTGTGTTCAGTTGCCTCTGGGTGGCTTGAAAAGTTGAAAATCTAAAGATCACTGAAGTTTTACATATAGAAAATAAATTTTCATTAGTCATCAGGAAGCATGCAAAGAGGCATTCCAATAATAGGGTCAGCAGGACACTTAAAGATGCGTACATTAGGCACCCAAAAATAATTAGGACTTTTGCAAATCTTGGCACAAGCCTCCAGCCATTACAGCTGCAAACAGAACCTTCAAATTGTCAGCAGAGTAAAACCAGTGCAATGTTCCTGACAGACTGCCTGAAACAGGAGCGCCAAGAGGGGATGAAATGACACGCCATCTCAAGGAGGGGTTGATTCTTACACCTTAGTAAAGTTAACAATGTTGATTTAAATCATTTCAATCCTTATTAAAGCAGGCAAGAAAGAATAGGGATGATATTTTGAAGAAGTGCAGAGTCTTTTCTGAGTGGTAGCCCAATCTAGCATGGTGTCTTTTGTGGGTGAAGTTTGGTTTTAGGTAGAGTTTGGGATAGTACTACCATCCAATCCTAAATAGAGGCAAAGAAAAATCATATAGCAATTCTCCTGGCCCCTTCTGCACCTTGTGAAAGAGCCTGTGGAGGGGTCACGTAAAAGAAAGAAGGGGGTTAAAAATACAAAGCAACTAGAAAAAAGAGTGATTCCTTCCTGGGGACATTGCTGCTTCTCTGCATTGTAGAATGTCTCATTTACATAGAGCAGCAGTGTTCTTGGGAAGTTAGTTAACTAGGTGTTAACACTCCATACCTTAATCAATATAAAAGAACAATGGACTATCCAAGAATAGAGAAATACTCCTGCCCTCCAGTTCAAACCACCCACTGATTTCAGAGAGAGCGCAAAGAGTCCGCTCTTGACATACTAACTCTGGAAGTTGTCCAGGTCCATAGGAACTTGTTTAAATTTTGAGAGAGGCGTTTTTCAAAAACGCACGCTGAGGGGACAAATGGCTGGGGAGTAAATTCATGCAAGTGGTGCTATTCTTCAGAGACTTGCCTGGGACACATGAATACACTCCTCTAAGGTTCTCCTGAAAAGTCCAGTACTAATACTTAAAGCTTACACCATGCTTTGCACCTGAAAGACACTGCACACAGAGCAGCTGATTAACCCTAATGCCCCTCTGGGATGGGGAAAACTGCAGCACAGTGGCCTGGCGCCACTCAGATGCCACAATGATGGGCAACCCCCTAAAAAACTGGACAGACAGAAAGAAACTAAGCTGGGATTAGAATCTGGGACTTCCAGGTTCTCAGCCTGTGTTCAGCCCACACTGCCTCAAAGAGTAGACAGAAAGTCTCCTAACCCTTGAACAGCAACCCACACAAAACTTGCCAGTAGAAGTTAAAAACAGCCCTAAAACCACAGACCGGGTTGGGGGGGGGGGGGGAAGGGGTTGGTTTGTTTTTTAAGTATATTCAGCTGTGACCTAGGTTAAACGCACACAAAAATTGAAGGCAAAACCAATGCAGCGCCCTCAGCTGTTACAATGAAAAAGATGTGGGGTCATGGTGGATAACCGGCTGAACCTGAGGTCCCAGTGTGACGCTGTGACCAAAAGGGCTCATGTTGTCCTTGAATGTATAAACAGAGGAATGTGGAGTAGGGAGGTTATTCTACCTCTGTATTTGGCACTGCGGCCGGGATACTGTGTCCAGTTCTGGCATCTGCACTTCAAGAAGGATGCCGATATATTGGAGAGGGTGAGCCACAATAACGATTCAAGGATTGGAAAACATGTATTATAGTTTTCAGAGTAGCAGCCAAGTTAGTCTGTATTCACACACAGAAAAGGAGTACTTGTGGCACCTTAGAGACTAACAAATTTGGGCTCCTGACGTTGATTTAGCCTATCAAAGGGAAGATTAAAGGTGATTTAATCGTGGTCTATAAGTCCCTACATGGGGAACAGAAATTTGATAAGAGAGAGCTTGGCAATCTACTAGACAAAAGTTACAAGAAAATCCAGTTGTTGGAAGTTGGAGCTAGACAAATTCTAACTAGAAATAAGGTACAATTTTTTAAAAATGAGGGTAATTAACGACTGGAAAAAACTTACCAAAGGCTGTGCTACAGTCTCCGTCTCAGGGAAATTTTAAATCAAGATTGGAGCTGTTCTAAAAGATCTGCTCTAGTTCCAACCGGAATTAGTTCAGGAAGTCCTGTGTTATACAGGAGGTCTGTCTAGATGATCACGGGTGTCTGTTCTGAACTTAAAAAAAAAAAAAAAACGATGATCACCCCGCACCACAAACAAATCAGCTGTCTCCCCACCATACATCTGGCCGGTGTTTTGCCTGCCCTCATGCTCAGCCTGCCTGGGAAGCAATGGCACCCTCTCTCACATCAATAAAAGCAACACTTTAGGAATAGGGTGCCCAGAGTACAGTCCACCCTCTGGTTCAGCTGTCAACTCAGAGATGTTGGGGCAGTTCATGGGCCCGGGTGAATCTAACAGGTTGGAGCCCAAGCCTGCTCCTCCTCTCTTGGAATGCCTCGGGATTTGGTACTCAGCACTAGTGAACTCGAACAATGAGCAGTTTCTATCCATTCAAAAAAAGGCTCCGTAAGACACAGACACAAGCAGATAGCACAGTAACGAGCATCTCATTCTTTGTAAAAGCTATGCAGACTGGGTGCAGCCCTCACACCTCAAAAGTGGCACTTGGCACTGGCGAGCTTTGGCAATCCTGCTTCAGAGGTGATTTTCTGCACTGACTTCTGTCGATCACCCAGTGAGAACTCCACCCCGCAGAAGTCTCAAAGTGTAGGTGGAGCATGATAATTTCCATACGCATATCATCAGAGTAGACTGCACTCCCCATGAGAGCACAAGAGCAGGCACGAATCTAATAATTCACGACAGGGGGTAAGGGAGAGGACAATGGCCAGGGCTTCAGAGCGAGCATGCAGCAGTTTATTAGCCAAGCAACTGGTTATTAATCTCCGTGAGAACACAGATGGAAGAACCCTGGGCAGGCTCCACAGTAGCAAGCTCTGCTGATCAGGGCGGTCATGACAACATTAGACTCTGTCGCACAAGGGTCTCAAGGTTTTCTCCTGCACTATTTTAAGTCAATGGAAAGGCTTGATCCTATTTCCATTAAAAGATAAGATATTATTCTGCTCACGAAAACAGAGTACGAGAAAAAGTCTCTCAGAAAGCTAAGAAAATCCTTTGATCCCTGGTACATTAAAACCAGGGTTCTGTTCTGGCCACAGCCTTTTGGGGATTGTTCATAACAGAGCCGAGGTGAGACGACAGTGTGAGCAGTGGACACTAACTAGCATCAGTTTTGTACTTATTTATGTTTATAGTCACAGAAAATAAAACAGATAAATACATCCAGTATGTTGAGCGCTTCCAGCACTCCTTCTTACTTATTTGTAGTACACCAAGGTCCCAAGCAAATCAGGAACCTGCCTTCCTAGATGCCGTCTAAACAAATAGCAAGACAAGATCTCTGCCCTGAATAATTTGTCTGAAATTAGACTGTATGGTGCAACAAATGAACATGCAAAATAATAAGAGGGAAGAAGGTAACCATAATAAGAGCTGGTATTTACATGTGCCAGCTTTATGTCTGCTCATTTATTCAAGGTATTTATCTGGCCTCTGTTTCCCATAGTATCTGAGCACCTCATAATCTTTACTGGATTCATCCTCACAACATCCCTACATGGTAGGGAAGTGCCAGGATCTCCATTTGACAGATGGGGAACTGGAGCATAGCGCGATTTAGGGCTTGTCTAAACGAACGCTTAGTTCACTGCAAGCTGGGGTGTAAATATACCTTGCACTAGCCTGCCACACTCTAAGTGTCTATGTGGATCCCGCTGCTGCCAGAGTTCCCGTGCACCTAAGTACATTTGTACTTACCTGTTTTGAAGCACACTACATACTTGTACTTAAGAATTTTAAACACTATGTACTTAGTACTTGTCTTAAGTACACTTTAAAAGGTATTTAGGTATTTAAAATACAAGCAACTTTTTCCCCCTCTGCAAGAGCTTTTTCAAACAATCACATCCCTCCCAACTGTCCCACATTTGGGGGGGGGGGGGCATGCGTGTGTGAATGTATTTACATTTATAAGATATTTTCTCATTGTTAATCCATTGTTCATGTATACGAATAACATTTCCTTGTTACTCTTCTTCTCTCTCTTCCACTGTGTGTTCACGTTATTCAGGAAGTTGTCCATACGTAGACCAGACAATTGCAAGGAAGACGGGAGTTGACAGTACCTGTGCTTTTACTTATAAATACATAAGCACGATTTCCACGGCACACCTGTACTTATAAGGACTTCTGCAGTGTGTACTTGGCACTTATACTTAAGTCCTTTTTTCAGTACTTATGGCAACTCTGGCTGCTGCACGTTAAAAAGTCCCCCTAGCGTGCCTTGACCTACTCCCCTTTCAAAGCAGGCTAGATCGAAGTGCAGTAGGGAACATTTTGCGCACAGCAGCAGGGTCCACACAGACATACAGCGCCACAGGTGCTGGAACTAGCCGTAGGGTTGCCAACTTTCTAATTGCACAAAACTGAACACCCTTGCCCCGCCCCCGCCTCACTCCTTCCCTGATGCCCTACCCCTGCCCCGTCTCTGAGCCCCCTCTCCCCCCGCTGCTCACTCTCCCCCACCCTCACTCACTTTCACTGGGCTGGGACAGGGGGTTGGGGGCTGGGAGGGGGTGAGGGCTCCAGCTCCAAGGTGGAGCCAGAAATGAGGGGTTCAGGGTGTGGGCTCCGGGAGCGGGCTCAGGGCTGGAATAGAGGATTAGGGTGCAGGAGGCGGTGTGGAGTCTGGGAGGGCGTTAGGGTGCAGGAAGGGGTTCTGACCCGGGGCAGGGGGTTGGGGTGCGGGTGGGGGTTAGGGTACGGGAGGGGGTTCTGACCTGGGGCAGAGGTGCAGGAGGGGGTTCCAACCTAGGACAGGAGGTTTGGGGTGCGGGCTCCAGCCAGGCGGCGCTTACCTCAGGCGGCTCCTGGTTGGCAGCTCAGTGGAGCTAAGGCAGGTTCCCTGCCTGGCCTGGCTCCGCGCTGCTCCCGGAAGCGGCCGGCATGTCCAGCCCCTAGGCCAGGCGGCTCTGCACAGTGTGCGCTGCCCGCAGCTCCCTCTGGCCATGGTTCCCAGCCAGTGGGAGCTGCGGAGCCTGCACTGGGGGCAGCGTACGGTGCTTCCCTGATCGCCCCTGCGCCTAAGAGCCAGACTTGCCGGCTGCTTCCAGGGAGTTGCACAGAGCCAAGGCAGGCAAGAAGCCTGCCTTAGCCCCACTGCGCCGCCGACTGGACTTTTGATGGCTGGAGCCACCAGGGTCCATTTTTGACTGGGCGTTCTGGTCGAAAACCGGACGTCTGCAACCCTAAATAGGGGTGCTGCTGCACCCCCTGGCTTGAAGTAGTTTCCATTATATACAGGGTTTACAGTTTAGTTCAATGGCTCTCAGCACCCTCACTATAAAAATTGTTCCAGCACCCCTGCTTAGTGCCCAGCAGGCTAGTGCAACATGGAGTTACATCCAAGCTTGCGGTGAGCTACACATTCATTTACACAAGCCCTAAGTGACTTGCCCAAGGTCACACGGGAATTCTGCAGTGGAGCAGGGAATTGAACACAAGTCTTTGAAGTCGCAGGCTAGGATTCTAACCACCGGACCATCCTTTCTCTCTGTGCATACCTTGATGGTTCCAAATCACTTAAACATTTTTTCAAAACAAAGTGATAAGCAATCCCACTGACCCTCTGTCAGGCCAGTGCCAACTGGCCATGCCCAGCAAGCATCACAGGAGACGTCAATCTTGTAGCAGAATTTCAAAGAGCAGAGCAGAGCGGTTTAACATATCAGTTCAAGGAACAGAACAGAGGGGAAAACACAGTAAGATAGCTGACCATCACAGAACACTTTACAGGTATTCTTTAATTGAGACACCCAACACCACCGAGATATACTTGTTATTAGCCCCACTTTTCAGGTGACGACACTCAGGTGACCTGTTCAAGGCCACAGAGTGAATCAGTAATGGTGCTAGGACTAGAGCTCAGGACTTCCCGGCTCTCAGCCCTATACTCAGACCACTGAACTGGGCCTCTTTTGCGTTTCCTTTTTGTGACAGACTTAACTCTTTGCTAGTAACATTCTATAGGATACATTGCAGCCAAAACGTTTTAAAAAGGAGTTTTCCAAAGTATCACTCAGTTGTTTCTAGATGACATTTTCAAAGGATTTATTTAAGTCGTTCCACTGAGGGTGCTTTACAGAATATCTGTTTTATGAATTAGTTCTTTTTTCTCCATTATTCCATAACTTTCCCAAATGTCAAGAGATAACGCTGCCGTGCAAAGCAGCCTTACTGAACTCTGGCAGACACTGTACAAGAAAAGCTGTTCTTTAAAAAAGCCAAACAAAATGCCTTGTTAAATTCCCTTGCATAAAACTTTCCCTTATGGAGGATCCCCGAACACCGCTTATCTACCTATTTAGGACAAAGATAGTATGTACCAGAGTGTATTCCACCCCAGCCTCCAGGTTGTTTTGTCCAGATTTGGTAGAAGAGAATAAAGAAACATTTTCAGACAAAGAATGCAAAGCTTCCAAGTTTATCCACAGGAATGAGACTGGTTTTCTATCATGTATTATCTTGTGCCAGAAGTTTCAACGAGTGACACATGTACATGAGCTTTTGAAGAGACCCGAGATTTTGATATTAGAATAACCTCGGGGGAGAAAAAGTTTGAGATTTTCAAAGCGATCTAAGAGATTTAGACACACATCTCACAGTACAATGTTTAGCATAGTAGGGTTCTGGTCTACGACTAGAGCTCCTAGATGCTATGGTAATACAAATAATTTTAATAGAAGATGTGCTAGACTGCTTTGAAAATCTCAACCTAATACCTGGGCTTACATTTCTTCTGGAAACAAAGTGAAGACACTTTTTCCTCTCCTCGCCCCAATTCCACCCATCCCTCTACACCCCCAAACGTCCCCATTTTCCTACTTCAGCCAGTGGGCTCAGAGTCCTGCATGTTTAACACAGCAGACACTGAGTGCTCATATGAAAGGATTTCATTTGCCAGCCCAATGGCAATGCTATTTGCTGGATGACATGGAAGCAGAGTTTGGAAACAGCTGTTTTTTCCCCAGCCATCCCACCTTTAGGGCTGAACCACCTCTAAATGGAGTGCATGTGCGAGAAAGACCTGC